TCGCCTGGTGATTGGCCCAAAGCCACCCAATTGCCTTTCATGCCTAAGGCAGGACTAGAATCTATGAATGGTCTTACCTGGAGCCCCTTTAATGTTATTGGGTAAAATGGAATGTGAGAATAGCCTTGCAAGACGGAAGGAGGGGCTGCTCCCTAAAGAAGGATCCGCTAAAAGGGGAAGGAGTTAGCATTTGAACAAGAGGTAGAGAAAGAAACTTTAGAAACGATCCATCCTATCTTTTCAGGAGGTAAAAAAGGACGGTAGGAGATCGGTACTTTCAGACTTGCAAGATTCTGTTCATGCAGCCTTAACAATAAAGTAGAGTTAGCTCATCGTGTTTCCTATCTGGTTTACCTGGCAAAGCTGACATTGAGACTTTATGAGTCAAACCCAACTGTTCTGACCAGGTTCCCAAACACGACAAGCACATGGTTTTTTAGTTAAATGTTCCCTTTATTAGGAGCGCCAGCAACCCCGGAAAAGAATCTCTCTCTCTCTCCCTCGCTCCCTCCCTCCCTCCCTCTCTCTCTCTCTCAGCAGGCTACGAAAGCCTCTAAAGTAGAGAGTCTGTTAAGTGCTTGTGGAAAGTGAAGCTCACTCCCTTTCCCCGTGAAACGGCTCCAACACACCAGGAGTCTCCCTCTCTCATTCAACACACGTGTAACAGAAGTCATGGAAGGTGTGCCCACTTTTTTTCCAGCAGCGGAGACACATACACACATGCTCTGAAGGCGCACCAGACTCTCAATGCCACAGATTCCAAGAAAGACCTCCGATTCAATTCTAGACAGGATTCAGAAGTTCAGAGTATCAGTGGCTGACTGACAGGGAGACAAGTAGTTGTCTGCCACACCTATTCGTCTCCACCCCCTGCCTTTTATCCCCGCCCCCTGCCTTTTATCCCCAGAACTAGGGTGGGGCTTAGCTAGCAGCGGTGGCTCTTCTGTCCTGAGGACCAGCCTATAGAGTCCCACTGTTCTCCTCTCCTCTGCCTTCTGCGCATCTGTGGGTCAGGCACAGGACCCAGCTGTTCCTCTTCTTTCTCATCAGCCGCCTCCAGCCAATGGATGGCCCAAGCTCCACCTCTATCTCTGACAGCGCCGTTCCCTCTTCCCCCTTGGAGCTCTCAGATTGATGCTGGCCCCCGGCTCCCGCTCCGCTTCCTCCTCTGATTCGGCTGCCAGAGGGGCCAGCGGCCGACAGGCCACAACACCATCGTTTTAGAGTTCAGCCAATCCACAGAAGGAAGGGATCATTTTAAGCCTGATTCTTTTATGCAACATTCTCACTCCAGTCCTTTCTTTCAGTGTCGGATGGAGAACATGTAAGTCCCGAGATGGCATTTACCATCCACTTGCTTTCCGCTGAGGTAGAGCCTCCGTTGTTCCAGATTACTGCACCGGTGCTCGAGGTCAGCCAAGGAGGCAGAGCTGCCATTGGTAAGGGGTTTATCAATGGGCTCCAGGTACACACTATGCTATATTTATAATTCCTAACGGTAGCAGTTCAATTAGGGGGCTTCCCATAAATTACTTGGCACCAGTCCAGAAACCGAATGTTCAGTAGAGGAATTAAACATCGATAAAAAAAGGTCTGGGAACCCACTTTCCATGTGGACATCAGCGAAGGGAGGAAGACGTAAAACGTAATTGAAGAAATCCACCTGGAACCATCACTCTGCATGGGATCCTTGCGAGTGTGAATCCTTTAACGTGGAAGCAAAGTGGGAGATTTAGCTCCTGCCTATGGTATTTATTTTAAGCTGACACATGAAGCTAATATATCAACCTATGCAGCCCTCTTTCGTTTCCCAATATTCAACCAATGAATCCAACTTCAAAGATGCATATAGTGATTTTGAACAGTGATCTTCATTATCGTCCAGTTTTGGTCGTCACCACGTATATAAACAAGATGTTGAAATTCTAGCAAGAGTGCAGAGAAGAGCAACAAGGATGATGAAGGGACTGGAGGCTAAAACATATGAAGAATGATTGCTGGAATTGGGTATGTCTAGTTTGATGAAAAGAAGGACGAGGGGTGACATGACAGCAGTGTTCCAATATCTCAGGGGCTGCCACAGAGAGGAAGGGGTCAACCTATCGTCTAAAGAAACCGAAACCAGAAGAAGCAATGGGTGGAAACTAATCAAGGAGAGAAGCAACCTAGAAATCAGAAGAAATTTCCTGACATTTAGAACAATTAATCGGTGGAACGATTTGCCTTCAGAAGTTGTGGGTGCGCCAACACTGGAGGTTTTTAAGAAGAGATTGGACAATCATTTGTCTGGAATGGTATGGCTCTCCTGGCTAGGCAGGGGGTTGGACTAGAGCACCTCCAAGGTCCCTTCCAACTCTGTTATTCTGTTACTAGGAAATCTGCCCTTGTACAGGTAGTCCTCCACTTAATGACCATAATGATACTTTCCCATTATGGTCTTAAGTCAAGATGGTTGCAAAGTGAGTCACCCCCATGACCAACCCGATTTTACAACCTGGTGGGTTGTGGGGTTTGGTTTTTTTTGGTGGTCTTCAAACAAACAGTACAGTTGTTAACCCAACCCATGATTTGCTAAAACCAGAAGTAAACACCAAGTTGTAAAACCCAGCATGAATGGCAGTCAGATGACTGTGGGATGTTTTAAAGAGCCGTAAACGTGAGCTGGTTGCCGAACACCTGAAGTGTCACGTGATTGGGGGTGAGTAGGCAGCTGTTGTATTTCGGAACCAGGTTGTAAGTACCTCTGATAGGAGATGACCAGGCTTAAGCCCAAAGGGAAAGGTCAAACAAGTCATCAGTCACGAGTCCCTGCGTGCCCGCAAGAGATCTAAGTCCAGCTCATCTTGAATGCCTTTCTTATTTCCCGCTAATTTCCCTTGACTGTTAGTAGTTCAGATTCTTGTAGAGAGCTTAAGCTTGCAATTAATCTTTATACTCATTTGAACTGCCCGAATCTCCTGATTTCCCCAGCGCTTGACACCTGTCAACTCATAAAACATGGGGGTAACTAGCGGAGCCCGGACAACACCTTTTTTTTAGGGTGGGGGGGGCGTGGTCTGTTATAACTTAAATGTCACTAAGTGAGTGGTCGTAAGTTGAGGACTACCTGTACTGTTATTGCTCAATAGCATACCAGGCGTTTTGATCAATGTTATGACCCAAGTTTTCGAATGCATCGATACCTGAAAGTCCACCGACTCCCTTATTTGCGTTTCTCACCTGCTTCTAAGTTGCAGTCTCCCTGGAGATCGGAAGCTAAACATCTAAACCTATTTTGCTTCCTCCCTCTCTATATTTGGATGGTTAAGGAATAAAGTTGGCGCTGAGTGACGGGCATATTGCAGCTGAGGACCTCTTCTTTGAAGTGGTAGAACCCCCTCACCATGGAGCTCTTCTCAGACACGGTTCCGGATTCCCAGTCTACATGGCAACAGGTAAGCTCGGGGGAAATTTCTCCTACTGTTTTGTCTGTGACCTTTTAGGTCAAAAGACACACACCTGTTAAGAAGAAGCAAAAATCCACTGAAATGCAACACGAATGCTTACCGATAGTCCTCACTTAATGGCCACAAATGAGGAGCAGCAACTCTTTGTCACTAAATGCCATGGTCATAAGTATCCTCTGACCATAACAGGCTTACTTCTGTTAAGTGACAGCTGTCCAGTTGGAGAATCCAGAAAAAGAAACTCCTGGGACATTATTTTACCAAGAGTATCAAACTTTACTGAATAAAACCACACTGGCACAGAAGAAGCAAAGCAGCTCTGGGTTTCCTGCCCAAAAGCAAGCATAATTCATTCTCCCTTTCCCCACGGACCACCCACAATCCATTATAGTGCACCAATCACTTCTGTTCATTTTGTTATGGGAACCAGCCGGCCACGGTGGGACATCTGCTCGGGGTGTCCTTGAGGGGGGAGCAATGTGTCCTGGGAACCGACAATGTTTAGATGCCATTCCCCTCCCCCCCTTGCATTCCATTTCACCCCCTGCCCTTTCGTTTGTCAAGCTGCCAGCGAAGTGGAATATAGGTGAACGTGCGAATCAGTCCTGACATTAAGTGAGTCACCACAGCTCATTAAGTCAGACATCAGTTGACCATGACTTGTGATTTTACTGCTGTCTTTCATGTTTAAGCAGGACTAGAATTCACAGTCGCCTGGTGATTGAACCAAAATCACCCAGCTAGCTTTCATGCTTAAAACGGGACTAGAATTCACAGTCGCCTGGTGATT